CTATTTCCGACCTGCATTTTCCGGGGAGACAGAATCGACGGCTTCTCAAGGATGAGCATAGCTTGCCCGTCCAAGTCAAGCGCCTCTTAGCAGAGCATTCAGCCCGAGTGGAACACCTGTTGAGCGTCGAGGAGGAGGAGGAGGAAGAGGATCAATCTGAAGCGGGAATCGAACCAGGACTGGAGGGGGAGGAGGAGGAGGGATACCAATCACCTACCGCCACCGAGCCAAACCAGCAGAAGAGTAAACTGGCCGAACCCTCAGCCAGTCTCTCCTGGTTCCTAGAAACGGTCTGCCTGTTGGCCGGGGTGCGCCTACCCGACCTCCTGCTTGAAGTCTTCCTGGTGGAGGGTATCCTTTTGCGCGAGGAGTTCGGTATACCCTCTCGGCACGCCTCTCATATCACCAACCTGGCTCTCGCGGCCGCCTTCGACTACAGCGTCACCTGACCCACTTCTGATGTCTCCTTTTCCTTCTTTATGACGCATTTATGCCGGTATTTTTTTCTTAACCACAATAAACTATTTTGTATATAGACATCCTTTCATTATATCTCCGTCTTCGAAGGTAGTTGGCAATACCTATTCCTCAGAAAGTGTTATCCGCGAGAAATTAATACGTCCTCATTTTCTCAAACAAACCTTCAAAAATGACTTTCTTACTTACCTATCTTAGTGTTGAGTCGCTAGTTTGTCGGATCAGTTATAATCAACGTCGTGTAGAGTGTGACTACGTAGTGAACAGTGCTGCTATCAAACGAACTCTTCCACGAAATGGTCGTACGTTTTTCGAATCTCGCCATTGATGCGGGATAATGGGGACACAATGAGTTGGCGTTGGAAACAGACATTTTCAGTGGGTTGTCTCCGCACTAGAAATATCACCACTTGCCTGCTTTGTGTAGGATGCTTAACAGTGATTTTGGACAAAAGAAACCTCCTAACGGAGGTCTTCATCATCTCTTGCGTTGACTGAAATGAGGTAGAGTTGGATCCGTCCTCACCCGCCTGCCACTGAAAATCAAGGACGTCACTCGGTCTCTGCCAGTAAACGCCAATATCTGCACACAATACTGAGGGGGCAGTTCTTGACTGAACTCTCCCTTGGTATCGGAATTTACAAATTCCAGACGGTTAATAATATATCGAAGCCTGTCAGAGCCAGTTTTCTTACAACAGAAAGACGAAAGAACCGCTAAAATGCGATGATTTTATGTCCGAGGATGAACTGATGGCTCGTAGACCTACGCCAAGTATAATCTACAGCTCGCGAAACTCTCAAAACTCGGCCTCATTTAACTTATGCCTGATTTGGGAGTTCTACCATATTTAGTGTTCCAACTATATTAGTATTGTCTCCCTTTGGGAGAGAGGATAGCTGCTAAAATTAGGTCGACGCTACGCGATCGAAGAATTAGTGTGGGAAGACGGAAACCTTAAATACGCTGAGCTACTCCAAAATCAAACTTAATTTCTAAGGAAATTAAAAAAAACCACAATTTCTAAATTGGAGTATCAACCAGAAAGCAGACAGGGAATGCTGGGGGACCCACTGACGAGCCGAACCCCTCGCAGCTGTGTTATGCAGCGTCAGAATATTGGCGAAACACGCGTGTATGGGCTTTCAGCCAGTATATGTGCTGTTAATATGGAATCATTTTACCCTAGTGTACACTACTAGCTGACTGTCGACAGTTAATGGACGTTGCGTGGTTACCCGCTGTGGCTGATGGACTTCGGCCCAAATATTCATACATAAAAAACTTCGACCGAGCCCACAGACCTTAAATATACTGATCTTCTCCAAGTTTGCAGTTAATTTCTAAGGAAATTAAAAAGCTACGACGGAGTTGGCCGTTTGTGACTTGTTTGCCACTGCCAGTGATTTATTCCCCCACTCCACTATGAAGGACTCGACGTTTAAATGCGAATTTTTCGGCAGGTCTTTCCGTCGATGGGTCTCAGGCTTACGACTAGGCGCCTTCAAATGGGAACACCTGAAAGTTACGTGAAAATAGCGTCTGCTGACTTGTTCAGACTACAAGATGGACACGGACATTTTTATCGGTGGAATGAGATTGCTGACAAAGACAGCCATAGTACGTGGGTCCGATTCAAAGGTGTCGCTAAAATAACCTGGGGTTGGATGAAGCTGGTTGATTGATGGCGTCCAAGAGGCCAAAAATGGCCATTCCCACCTCTGTCTTTGTCGACAAGTCAATCCCGCCCATGCCACTAACAGTCGTGCGACTGCCTGTTGGCTCTTCATCGAGCTCCAAAACACAAGTGTACGAGCGTGTTCCGTAGCCCGTTTGGAGAACGCACTTCTGACATAGTTTTGATCTGTCTTGTATCTCTGTACTAAGGTCTAGCCACACAGTTTGGTAGCGAGGAGCAAACAGGAATCGGACTTTATCAATACGATGCCTTCACAAGACGAGCACTCAGTGTCGTTGAACGTGAGGACAGTTGGTCGTCACAACGGGCTGTCATGTAAATGCGCCGGACCAGAACAGGGACCAGGCTGGGTCAAGGCACGCGTTTTTCTGGTTGTGCAGGGCCCGCGTATCCAATAGCTACACCAACTCATGGAGTGCTGTGGCATACCTAGGCGTAGGTTTCACGCCGCCCCAGCCACTGCGCCCTACTCAGATGGCTTACAGGCTCGGATAAGCGACCGGAGGAAGGGAGACCGACGCACTGTCCGGCGCTGTGTGACGGAAAAGATAGACTTCTATGCTGTGCAAATGTAAAATCGTCCAGCTGTCTCAAGTTATTTGCAGAGTAATCTTTCGTGTACTACGGCGTGAAGAAGTTCTGGGTCATCTCTGCGTCTACCGTCCTGCCTCCTTGTCTTTAGGCTTTACGCCTAAGACGACGTTGTTTGGACCGCATTGGAAATCTATTTGACCTTAGCAAGCGAAAAAGCTAGTCAAACTGCCCTTAAAAAGATTGTTGTAAATATTTTGCCATGCTTCTTGTTTATACACAGCTTTTCATAGTTATTCTGTGTTAGGTATTTACTAAACTTGCCCTTATCCATCTTTGCTCAAGTTAAGGTTTATTAACCGCCAAGCGACAAACCGCTAAGCTGATGTATGTTTTGTTTCGTTCGCCGACTCTTCTCCTCCTACTACCTTTGTTTTATATCAAGCGTTGGTGACATCGCATTTACTTCTAGCGGGGCAATTTAACTCGGCTAATTTCGACTCATTATCATTGTTGGATCGGCCTGTCGGTCACTCGAAAAGAGTCCTGACGGCTCATTTTGTATGGGAATGGAAGTCTGCGCATGAATTGTGATAATTCCAGCTAGCGTCTTTTCTTAAAACACTAATTTCAAGGCTTCTGTGTGCTCATTTTTGTAAGCTCACATCGTGAAATGAATGGCTGTCACTTGGAGTTTCTTCTCTATAAATTGGATCAACGAAAAACAGCTGCGCAGCATCTGGGACGGATGCTGGATTTCTTTCGATGAGTCAGGCTTCGATGACTTGTTAAAGTCAGGAGATTTAACTCTGATGGTTTAAATGTGCTTCCATCTAGCGCTTATGAAACGAGTTCAGAAAGACACCCGTGTACATTGAACCCTATTGGCTCTCCTTTCATCTGTTTCGTAGTATTTACCAAAGAACTTGCAGTCGTTTTGCGCGAGAGCAGGGTAGTTCTATAATTTGACGCCACTGACTATCAATGGACTCGTTCTGCCAACTCTTGTAATAGTGTCAGAATTGGAAAGTTACCTTCAAATTGGAGAGGGCATTCATCGGGACCGATGTTAGGGACTCACATTCTCTAGAAAAATGAGTGAAGCTTTCAGATGTTGCAGAATAAACTCTAGCACAGGGGTTTGATTGTCTGAAAAACTACTCCCGGTGTCTTGCCCATGTGATCCGACGGCAAGCACCATGATCCTCAATATGACATCTCCTTTATAAACCTTTGGAGGATCATATGGGACTGTGATGTAAGGGTTATGAAGGTAAGGAATTGGACGTCGATGGAGTTTAGAATTTCCTGCCAAACCAACCTTAAACGTTTCTCGAGTCTTGCATTCTTCCTCACTCGAGCCTTCCGAAAGGGGTTGTTGGTTCCTCTGATGCTGACGACTCGGTCCCCTTGATTTACGTCCTAGGCTTTCAGTAGTGTTTTATTGGCAGGTTTGCACAATTCGTCAGACCCCTTTGTGGAAAACCCGGTAGACTCGACAGCGAGAGCAAGGCTTGAGGACGGCCAGTGCCCTAATCACCTGAGCTACGAGACTCCGCCTAACAGCCGTGAGCTTAATCACATCTGGGTCAAGTGGCGCCCCCAACCTACTGTAATGTGTGGAATCAATCAATAGCATTACCGACAAAGACAAGGGTGGCTACAATGGCCGTCTCTGGCTTATTAGCCGTCGTCAGCAAGTCATACCCGACCCCGAAGTGTGGAAAACCTGGGGCTCGATCCCACGACCTGTTGGTTAGAAGTCCAACGCCGCTAAGCATTATATGTATCCGATAGCAACCGATAGGTCAACGAGCCCTTCGCTTAGTGGTTCAAGGCGCTGGACTTCTAACTAACAGGTCGCGGGATCGAGCTCCAGGTGTTCCACACTTCGGGTCTGAGTATGACTGGCTGACGACGGCTAATAAGCCACAAACGACCATTCCAGTCTCCCTTTGTCGGTAATGCTATTCTGCCTGTTATGTATGCAAAACAGAAGGGTAATTGGAAATAGGACGTGTAATGAGTACGATAGACAGCACAAGTGAGGAGGCTTGGGGGAACGGCCGGGTATATGGCAAGGGGGACTGTCATAGGCTAATGGGTGGCCAATCAGCACAAAGAAGGTGTGAACATGGGGCCATGACCTTGATCGTTCGCTTGTCACGCGTTTGTGGCATGATGTCCTGACGGCCCGAGCCAGATACGCTGCATCCCTCCACCCTAAAGTGGAGAGCATGAGGGGGAGGGGAGGGGAACAGTAAAGGTAATAGTGGATAGTCAGACAATGTTCTAATAAGATTCGTCCTGAAAGCGTTGGACAGGTTTGCGGATTCGGGTCGACCTTCTCAGGGCGGTATTTTCTACCTCTGCGCCGCTTTGTGCGGTCACTGGCTCCTCTGCCCCTAAGCTAGTGCTGGACGAGGTAGAAGGAGGTGGAACATACGCCTCGGTCGGTGGCGTAGTGCTCTGTGCAGGCAGTAGGGGTTCAGTCCTCGGGATGTCAGGATCCCTATCAAGGGTTGCTGGCAGTTCGAACTTTCCGAATTCTCTACTTGCTGTGTCCGTTCGGCTTCGAACTTGGTCCAGATGTCGACGCACAATTCTCCCATCTTCTAACTCTAATTCCACTATTTGCCCCTCGCTTGTTCGAACTACCGCGGGACACCAGTTCGTTTCGTGTTCCAGTCGCGTGTAGACACTTTCGTTAGGCGCGACGACTCGTGGTCGGGTGTTCACATCATAACGTTCTTTCATCTTCGTCTGTTTTGCAATGACTATATCCGGCGTTGATGAGTTAAGCAGGTCGAGTCGTGCGCGCAACTGCCGCTTGAACATCAATTCTGCAGGCGAAGCACCGATTGAGTCGTTCGGTGTTATGCGATAGCTGAACAGAAAGCGTGACAACTTGGTGGCCAAGTCCGCTTCTGTCTGTCTGGCTAGTCCGTGCTTTATTGTCTGGACTGCACGCTCTGCGAGGCCATTTGAAGCAGCGTGGTACGGGGCAGTAGTTAAATGTCTAATTCCATTTTTCTCCAGGAAATCTTTAAATTCTGCACTAGTAAAGGCCGGACCATTGTCTGAAACGACCATTTCAGGTATCCCAAAATTAGAAAAGACGGTTCGCAACTTGTTGATTGTAGTCAGTGAAGAACAAGAATTTCCTGTCGGAATCGCATCAGTCCATTTAGTGTGGGCGTCAACTACCACCAAAACCATACGGCCTTGGAATGGCCCAAAATAATCGACGTGTACCCTCTTCCACGGTGAGTCGGGCCAGGCCCAAGGCTTCAGAGGAACCTTCGGTAAGGTCTTCTGTGTTATTTGGCACACGTGACATGCTTTCACCACGTTTTCTATATCTGCGTCAATTTTGGGCCACCAAACATAACTGCGGGCGAGAGCTTTCATTCTAACTGTACCAGGATGAGCATTATGCAGGTCTCTGAGGATGGCCCGTCTGCCTTGTGGTGGCACAACTACACGATTGCCCCATAGTATGCATCCGTCTTGTAGACTTAACTCGTTCTGACGGCTGAAGAATGGTTGAAAATCAGAGGAGGTAGAGGACGGCCAGCCAGATTGCAAGGCTCTTTTTACCCGACTCAGGAGAGGGTCTCTCGATGTCCACTGTCGAATTTGTTGACAGGTTACAGGTGAGTTGACTAGGTTCTGCAAAAGATTCACCGTCTCAAAAACAGGTGCCCCGTTAATGCCATCGTCCACGATAGGCAGCCTACTCAAGGCGTCAGCCACTACGTTTGCACTACCTGTAATGTACTTCATTGCATACGTGTAAGCAGACAAAGTGAGTGCCCAACGTTGCATTCTCGGCGAGGACATCTGTTGTATCCCTCGTTTTTCTCCCAGCAAGCCTAAGAGGGGTTTGTGATCAGTGTGAATCTCAAAGGGTCGGCCAAAAAGATACAGGTGGAAGCGATGTAGGCCAAACATTATTGCTAAGGCCTCTTTGTCTAATTGCGAATAGTTGGTTTCCGCCTGTGACATGGTTCTTGATGCAAAGGCAATCGGCATCTCCGCACCAGAAGGCATTCGGTGCATGAGAACCGCACCTACGCCGTACGGAGACGCATCACATTTCAGTATGGTAGGCTTTTCGGGGTCATAGTGAACTAGGACAGATGAGGAGGTAAGAGCCGCCTTCGCATGTTCAAAAGCACTTTGTTCGACCTCCGACCAGTGCCAGCAACGATTCTTTTCAAGTAGTCGATAAAGAGGCTTTAGAATTGTAGCCGATTGATTCATAAAGCGACAAAAGTGGGTGACCAACCCCAGGAATGAACGCAATTGACTAGTATTGTTGGGGCGCGGCGCCGTCTTCAAGGCTTTGAGCTTATGTTCGAGTGGATGGAGGCCAGTTTTATCCACCCTGAAGCCCAGGTATTCTACCGAGTCGGCAAGGAAAGTGCACTTATCTTTCCTGAGTTTAAAACCTGCGTCCTCTAAACGTCCTAACACGATGTTTAGAGTCTCTAGATGACTAACTTCAGATGGGCCGGTGACTAATATGTCGTCAAGATATGCGCAAACGTGAGGTATATCCTTCACGAGGTTATCAATCAAGCATTGAAATAAACCGGGAGCCGAACTTACTCCAAATGGTAGTCTTTTATATCGAAATAAACCCCGATGCGTATTGATGGTGGTGGCGTCTCGGGATTCAGTATCTAGGACGACTTGGTTGTAGGCATGCTTCAGGTCCAAAGTTGAAAACTGATGACCACCCGAGAGAGATGCGTACAGATCCTCGATGCGCGGGAGAGGATAGGGGTTTAGTTTAGTTGCTGAGTTTATTGTCAGCTTGTAGTCGCCACAGATAGGCACAGAACCATCGGTTTTAAGAACAGGAACTATTGGGGCTGCCCATTCCGAATATTGCACGGGCTCAATAATATCCGCCTTCTGTAGGCGATCCAGCTCTTCTTCGACATTCGGTGCGACTGCATAGGGGACTGTACGAGCTTTGAAGAACCGGGGCCGGAAATCTGACTGAAATTGGAACTTAACAGGTGGACCGCGGTAGTGGGTAGCTGAATCGTCACGAAACAGATACTTATGATTTACCAAAATTGAATCTAAAGCCGGATTTACACCAATCCGATGTACATAGGAAAGCACCGAAGGCACGCATTTAATCCAATTCCGTCCAAGGAGATTTGGTTGCTGGCTTCCTCTCACCACATGAACCGGCAAGTAATGAAGTTCTCCATCATGCTCGACTTCGGCTGTAAAGACCCCTCGAACCTCTACGTTCTGTCCAGTGTAACTACGGAATGTTGAGCTGGCCGGAAGAAGGGAGGGTAATTTCGGAAGGGAGGCCTCATTGATGAGAGTAACAGCTGAGCCAGTGTCGATTTCAAACTTCACGGGATGGTGATCAACCGGAAGTGTGATGGTGTAGGACGATTGGAGCGGCGCGTTGGCCGAAAACATTCGGAGTATCGCCTCGCCATCCCCAGCGGGATTAGGGTAGGTTGCATGCGTGTTAGTATTCGCTCGTCTTTTGGAGAAACACACTCGTTCGATGTGGCCGACTTTCTTGCAAAACTGGCATACCGTCTTCTGGTGTCTACAGTCTGACCACCGGATATGATGCTGACCACAACGGTAGCAGGATGGTAGTTGTTTTGAGGGAGCTGAGGATCGCTGTTTAGGTGAAGACACAGCAGTGTTGACTAGGGAGACAGCCATTTCAGATTCCAAGGATGCTATCATTCCATCATTTGACTGATTCAGCTGCTGAAGGTTTTGTCGCACGCGCTCCCGATGACTGGCGATATCACAGGCTTTCTTTCATGACAAATCCTTCTTCTCTGATAAGAGATTTTCCCGAGCTTTTTCATCGCGCAAACCGACGATCAACTGCTGAACGAGCATTGCGTGCTCGAAGTTGTCTGCCTTGATCTCTTTATACCCATAGTCCTGGATGGCCAGAGTCAGATTAGTAATAAAATCACTGACACATTGATTGGATTCTTGACGCATTTGACAAAACCGATAGCGACTGAGAAAGACGTTGTCTTTTCCTCCCCACGCTGACTCGAGTTTTGAGTAGTCTGTATGGAGATCTATAGCCTTTTGTAGATTGAGGGCATCAAAATATCGTTGTCCCAACTCTCCGAGATTCGTCCGCAGGAGCTTCAACTTAGATGGGACGTCTAGTACAATCGTGGGTGACAAAATCGGGAGCAGTTCAATATAATCCTCAAATGTCTTCCTCCATTGCAACCACAAGTCATTTGAGGGCTTCTGGGTGTTCTTTGGCCAGAAAGGTAACGGTGTAGGCAGCAATGAAGACATATTCGTTAGGCTGCGTCGCCAATGTTATGTATGCACAACAGAAGGGTAATTGGAAATAGGACGTGTACTGAGTGCGATAGACAGCACAAGTGAGGAGGCTTGGGGGAACGGCCGGGTATATGGCAAGGGGGACTGTCATAGGCTAATGGGTGGCCAATCAGCACAAAGAAGGTGTGAACATGGGGCCATGACCTTGATCGTTCGCTTGTCACGCGTTTGTGGCATGATGTCCTGACGGCCCGAGCCAGATACGCTGCACTGCCTATATAACGAGCTACAGTGCGGCTGCTGGCAGAGTTCGAGAGGGAGAGCGCTGAGGTACAAGGGGATGCTTGTGTAAGCTGATTATCCATCGGAACTTCCTGCGCAATCAATTTGGAATTCGACGGATGACTACCAGGCTTACTTAATTGATTAGTGTCTTTTAGTAGATTTGAATAATTTATTAGACCCAATTTTGGAAACACTCAAATTCTATGCTGACAACCTAAGAAAAACTGCCTTTGCAGTTAGCCTACTGTGGCAGAATTGGTGGATCCTCTACGTTGCAGTATATTAGGTATGTAACCTGGCCAAAATCTGATTGATCTCATGGTTCCTAGTCAGAGCATCGTAGCTCAGGTGGGCAGGGCATTGTCTGTACTCTGTCGTGGGTTCGAACACCACTGATACCACCGACTGTTTCATGATAATACTTTTGCGGCTCATGTCGATGGGTACGGCAAAGACTTTGTAGCGTATAATTATGGCAGTTGTTTGGTTGATATTGATTTTTGGTCTGTTTTGTCAGACAATTCAGAGCGCATTTTTGCCGGCCCTTTTGTCAGATAAGGAAATGACTTACGTAGACGCCAAAACAGGATATGGAAACGGCAACCGTCTGCAGCACAAGTGTTTTTGAGCCGACTTCCAGTGAACAAAGGGTAAGGTTTAAGGGAAGGGCTAAAGTTAAGTTGCCGACTAGGTTTGAGGTTAAATTTAAAGATAGGGGTAAGGCAAACCAGTGTCAAGTTTAGAGTTAAGGTCGAGGTAGGGGTTAACTGTAGAGTTAAGGTCTAGATAGGGCTATGATCAGGATAACGGTAACAGCTTGGTTTTATATTAGGGTTGTTATTGGAGTTAGGGCATGGAAATATTCTGCTCTTTCTAAAATCATGCGCAGGTCCATATTTATTACTTGGGCGGGACGTTCCTACTACCATATCCTGTTTAGACGCTTGCCAAAGCCGCGCAGATATGTGTGTTCATATGGCAGAAGTTTTTCATTCCGGAAATGAAGCTAAAACGTTATCAAATGTCTGTTCTTCCTGTCCTTGAATACTGCTGCCCTTTCTTTGGTTTAAAGAACTCCTGTGACCGTAATAAAGGCGAAAATGTCCAGAGGGTTTTTACCCGGAAGCTCTTTTCTATAGCCTTATCCGGCGCTTCTTATACTTAGATATGTGAGCTGGCGAATATTAAATTTTTATGGATTAGGTGACGCGAAGCTGGCCTTTGCTTCCTTTATCGCATTAACTCTAGCTCCAATCTTCCGCTCGTTGACACTTCCGCTCCGAGAGATTGGTTTTATGTCACGTTCAACTCCTCCGCGGTGATTCCGCCGCCTCTTTGCACGACATCTAATCGCTTCCTCTTTTTCGCTTCAAAATCTGCCTTCCTTTGGAATAATCTTCCGTCAGAAACTAGGTCATCATTAAGTCATCGGTATTCAAATCGAAATTACGCAAACACATTACTCAACTTCTTGACTTGCAAAAGGGTCCTCTCGTGATTTACTGGTAGATCAAGCGGGAAGCCTCACTTATAGTTTAACAACCCCTTGTTTTTAATTGGCCACTAAATCCACTAACATCACTCCTCCCGTACCGACTATTTTCGCTGTTCTTGATGTCATCTTCTCATCTTAACCTCAAGCGGTCATTCGACGTTTACGGCGGAACCCTCTGTATTCGCCGTCTACCAGTAGCTTGGCCGTATCACACTTGCCCCCTCCTCCTTGCCTCCTCGGCTGGGCTCGAAGTGAACTGTAACCGATTGCGTCTGGGTTCTTCTGGTCTCGACAATTTGATGCGAATAGCCTCACCCGGTGTTCGAATTCTTCCCTGACGTTCTCCGTTTTTAATCCTTCAAACAATACCACATGCAGACCGGTCATGTCTGACCCGCATACTTACCCCTCAACGATGACATTTATTTCTGCCCTGACGCTGTCCTTTTATAATTTTTTATACACTGCCACATACAAGCCGGTCCTGCCCGCATTTTTGTCCTTTCATGAGCGGCGGTTCTTTTCCTCCTGTAAAGTTTATTCAGTCATTTTTTACATTCTACAATAAAGTCTCTCTTCACCGCTCGCTCGTTATTTGTCTTAACGGACTACTGACTCAGAAACTACGACTTGCATTTTGTACAGATTCTGCCTACCTCGTCTAATTTTTTTTACCTGATATGAATTGACCCCGTTGCGTCTTTAATAAATTTATTTTATTCCTTTATTTTATTTATTTATAAGTCAGTCCTGTCAGGAACGAGGAGCAGGAGCCAAATCGCCTCAATTAAGACTACCAGTTGCGTCGACATTGCTGATAGCAGGGACAAACCTGCGTATTTTCCACTCTTTTTTTCAATCAGACTGCATAAAAGAGGCAGGGTTCCTTCATCAGTCCGCAGTAGAACTGCCGACTCCAAGCAAAAATACTATACTCTTCCCATAACGCAATGTTCGAAGAGAAATAGGAGCACTGAGTGAATCGAATTCGCCAGGACCAGACAGAATTCCGCCGAAGCTTCTCAAAGAACCGGGCAAAGAGCTTTCTGTGCCTTTGTCGGTGCTCTTCCAAACGCCATTTGGCACTAGAACGTTTTCTATCGACTGGAAGCTGGCGCATATTTCTCTGTTATACAAAGGACATAATAGAGCATTGACGACGAATTACAGGCCCATGAGTTTACACGCATTCTCAGAAAAACTTATGGAGAGGATCATAAAGAGTGAATTGATGCATTTCCTGGAAGTTCACGGCCTGCTATCTAAATGCAACATGGGTTCCCGAAAGGGTAGTCCTGCACTGGACCCAAGCTCTCAACAACAAGCACGCGGTCCACATCTCCTAAATCGACTTCCGGAAAGCATTGGACACTGTACCACACGAGAGGCCGTCACATAAACTGAAAAAAGAGATTAGAGGTAACTTCCACAAATGGATCAAAAAGTTCCTTGTGTGTCGGCATCAGGTGGTGTGCATCGGTCAAGAAAAATCAGATCCTGCTATGGTCGAGAGTGGTGTTCCCCAGGGGTCAGTACTGAGACCCATTTTGTTCCTAATATATACGAAGGATTGGACAAGGGTTTTGATCTACAAAGCAGAAATGTTTTCTGATGACATGAAAATATGGAGTGAAGTCCGGGGCTGTGTGGACGAAGACAGACTGTAGAGGAACCTAAATCGACTGGAAGAATGGTCAAATCGTTGGCTCCTGCGGTACAACTTTGGTAAGTGTAGTATATTTCGCCTAGGCAACACAGCCAGATCTGCCAGCACAAGGGACTACTTTTTGAGCGGTGCAACATTACGAGATATCGAAGCCCTAAATGACCTCGGTGTGCTGAGGACGTGCTCCCTAAAACCATCCGCCTATTATTCGAGAGTGGCAAAAAGCGCAATGTCCGTACTGTACGCCATGAAGCGTGAGTTTTTGGATTTTGACGAAAACGCCTTCTAACAAGCTTTCGGAAAATTTAAGCAGTCGCACTTGGGGTACGACATACAATTCTGGAGTTCGTGGGCAGTTCAAGACCAAAATTGCTTCGAAAGATTTCAGAGGAGGGCCACGAAGATGGTTAGGCTTCAAAGCTCCTTTCCCTATATAATCCGTCTAACAGATCTGAAACTCTTCCCTTTGAGTCATAAGCAACAGTGAGGCGATCTCTTACGAGCATTCCGTTTGGCGAAGTGGTTGAACTGCAGCCTGGCCTTTGCGGGCTTTTTGAATTCATGTCTACGATCAACCTCCGAGGTTTCCTGTTAAAACTGCGCACGTAGCAGGCAAGGTTCAATATGCAGACTCTTTCTCTACCAGAGTGGTCAAACAAGGGAACGTCCGCCCTGCACACTTTGTGATATCACCATCGA